CAAGCTTGCCTTTGATTCACAAGGCAAGAACTTCTTTCATGTGTGCTTCAATTTACAAAGCAATTACTTCCCTCATGATAGCTTTGACTCCACCTCTGAACCCTTTAACACATAATTTCTATGTTATGATCATACATTTGGCCCATTCGAAGAATGAACAAGTGGTGCATGTTGTCCATTCGAAGAACACACGAGTGGTGCCTTCGAAGGATATACAGTTGGTTCATTTGATGAACACACAAGTGGTGCCTTCAAAGGACATACATTGGTGGCCCATTCGAAGAACACATAAGTGGTGCCTTCGAAGGACATACAATTGGTCCATTTAAAGGAAACATAATTGTTGGAAACAAGTTTGTTTTGTCTTTTGATGAGTCTTGGTTCAAGATGCTTGCTGGTCAAAGTCCTACATGTTGCAAGCCCAAGCCTCCTACACAATCGCATTCGAAGGAAATAAAAAAAGAAGCTTCGACTGGACAGAATGAAGTGTTCGATTGGGCTTGTTGGAGAGTTTCAAAACAAGTAACTAAGGCAGATAGTGGCTCAATCGAAAAGGCTACAACGATGAGGCCTAGAGCCATTAGAATTGGAATTCAGGGCCAGTCGAAGAACAAAGTTTGGGGAGCTTGTCGAAAGACTCATGCAAGTCAAAACGAAAACCAATGGGATAAAGTGGACTTCGATTGGTTAGCTTGAGGCTCAAGTTCGAGTAGGATACCAACCATGACTTGTCCAGGTTCACTAAAAATTTCAAAACGGCATGAGTAACTCAAAATGGCAATCCTTTAATTTGTATGATTTTGTTTTCAAAGCCGTGTTTAACGGTTGGTCCTTAATGCCATGTTTCTTTCCCCATTTCCTTGTCTCCTCCACCTCCTATAAATACAGAGCTAAGGACACACTGCCAAGGGGGGGAACAAAGAACGAGAAAAAAAAGAAACACATTACCCACACACGCATTGCTCAGACACACACACATTGCACACAAAAAAGAAATTGCCTCAGGAAAAAGCTCAAACATATCATAAGTTTCCTAAATACCAAGCCAACTTTGAAAACTCCCAGGAAGTTTCCTAGGCCCTCACGCTAGCAATTCCACGCCCAGGTTCACAGATCGAAGCATCTCTTGTTGGTAAGGATTTACAAAATCAAAATTATATTTCCATGCCATTTAAATACACATTGTTTGCATCTTTTACACTGCTAATGTGGTTTGTGTTTATATGAACATACTACATGTAAGATTACATGCAGGAATAAGATTGTGCCATCGAAGGGCATGATCTGAATTTGCCTTCGAAGCTCATGATATAGACAGTTTCAAGCCAAAACAACCCAGATTCGAACACAAAGGGTTCGAATTAGGGGGAAAGACCTGGGTTCGATACCTAGGTCATGCATCTTTATTTTTGCTAACATTTGTCTTGCAGATCCAGATCGAAAGGCAGCTTCCTTCCCTGGATCGAAAAACCATATCCTTCCCTGGATCAAAAAGATAACACCCCTCCCTAGATCGAAGGACCATTTGCATTTTTTATTTTTTTATTTTGTTTTATTCATTTCTTTTATTCACTTTACTCTCTAAATCAACATTAAATCAAAAAAATCACAAAAAAAACACCAGATTAGTATTTTTATTAATTAAGCTAATTTTATAAATTAATTAATTAATTATTTTAACATTTTTGTTTAACTAAAATCAATAGACTTAAGGTTCTAATCAACTTTAGTTCTATTTCTCAAAAAATACCAAAAAAATATTTCTTCTTAATGCTTAAGGTTTCAAGAAATTTTTTTGTATTTTTTTTTCTCTTATCATTTTTCTATTTATTTACCATTTAAATTCTAGAAAGAATGTATAGGTTGCATGGGAAATTTTGTACTCGTTTAGTTTATTTTTCCGTTTTTTTACTAAATATCGTAACTGCTCATTAGATGTAATAGCGTAGGATTTACTTTCCTCCCTTTATGTTTCCTGTACAGATATAAATTGTTAGATGTATGTTAATAGGATTGCAGGATAAGATTTAAAACAAGATGTTAGCAAAGCTAACATAAAGATAAATAACTGAAACAAACACACTCACACATGCGCACCTTTAGGGTATTCCCACTTTGGTTGCCTTCGGAAAAATAGTCACAACTCTCGAAACATGAGAGATTTTAGTGGCTACCCTATGATTTAAAAGATCATAAGTCCCTCGATGGCCCTCTCGACGTTGCCTCGATAAACAATGATCTTAAAACCCTAGGGTAGTTACTAAGGTTTCTTGCCCAGTTGCCTTTGTAACTATAAAACGTCCCTTTGAATGTCCCTGAAACATCCAAACGACTAGGGCTACCTACTCACTAATAGTAGGATAGCATTGTCTAAAGGAAAGGAGGAAAAGAACGAACCTTTCGAGTAATCATAAAGCAAAACAATTACACAAAACAATTTTCAAAACAATTTTCAAAATGCTTTATCAACACTCTTGAGGACTGATACAAGAGTTATCATAAAGCAAACTGCCTCACTATGTCATTTCAAAATACTTTTCAAAAACACACAAAGCACAAGGTATTTTTCAAATGAGCTAAGCATCTAAGAGCCCGTAGAAAACTACAGATGGAAAGGGTGTTAAAACCTTCCCTTTCTATAATCTACCCCTTACTTAGAAATAATCTTGAAAGGTCTTTTATGTTCTTTTCACCCTTTCCTTTGTTGGATAAAAGAAAAGTCGGTGGCGACTCTTGCTTGCCATAACATTTGCGAACACATACGCAAAACCAGTATAACAATCGGTTCTTCCACCGTATCACAATGCCCTTTAGAGTTCCCCAGGCGCGTGTTTGCCTACACGCTGGTGGGCTTTGTCTATAAAAAGAGGGGAGAGATCTCCTTGAATATTTTTTGTCATCTTTCCATTTGCTCGATAATTTCACTCTTGCCCAACTTCATTAGTTCCTTCCCCGCTTCATTCGCTCCTAAGACTTTCGCTTGTTCTACCGTCTGTTTTCGTCTCTTTGTTGTTTCCTCGTAGATAAGATGAATCTCTCCCAAGAGCTCTTGGCCAGGACGTCCACTTTCAACATGGAGAAGGCACAAAAAGGTGTCAAGGCTTCCTTGCCCGATGATGGCCCTATGTCGAGATCGGGTGCTTCATTGATAGAGCATCCGACCAGGGCTATTTCTCTTCTCCAGGTGTCCTCGAGGCATAAGAGGCAGCACAACAAGGGTACTATGGACCTTACTAGGGAGAGGGAGAAGGGAAAGTACGAGTTACCCCCTTGTTGGCACGACATATCCTTCTTCGAGGGTTTTTCTCTGTATCCTCTCGGGGGCGAGTCCCTTCTGCTCGAAGAGCTAGATCACCTAACGAAAAGTACAATGTTAGCTCAGGATGTCGGGGCAGTTACGAGAGTCTTGGAGATGGTCGTGGCGTACACTGGGGGGGGGTACTTCCCTGGAAGTCGAGGTGAGGAAGTTGCGATCGAAGTTGGCCGAGACAAAGAAGGAGTGTGTTAATGAGAAGACTTGGAAGGTAGCAGAGAACAAACTAGGGAAATTTTCTAAGGATCACAAGGCATATCTGCTCAAGAAGAAGGCTTCTGATGAGCAGGTGGCGGCCTTGAATGTTAAAGCTGCTCCCGCCGAGGATGATCCCAAAGAGGCCAAAGGTTTGAGGACTCGAGTTGATCTGGTTGCTCACTTACAGCTTGCTTTGGACAATGCTCTAGTTGTTGTCGAAGGGAGCTTTGATAACATTATAAAGCAGCTTCGGGTTCTGAACCCCACGGTTGAACTGAATGTGACCAGGATGGGTCTTCATCATTACATGGAAGATGGCCATATCGTAATTCCTGATTGTCTTAGAGGTGTCAGGGATGTACCTGTTGGGGAGCCGTCACATCAAGAGCCCGTTACCGAGGAAGATCCCTAACCGAATGTTTGATTTCTATCTAGTTATTTCTCTTTTCTGGCCTACGTTCCTGTCATACCCCAATTTTTTTACCTAAGATCCCTGCTTCATTTGCATTATTTTTCATACACATCAAGGTCACAGAATATGGTAGGTTTTGAACGTTTCGTTGTCAAGTTTTGACTGTGTAGAGATTATCGAGTGTTGTGAGCATTTTATGAATGACTAACCACTAATCAAGCACGAAGTGCATGTTTTGCTGTTTTATTTTCATGTGCAGAAAATAGGTCTGAAAGAAGAGCATTAGACGTTGTACGTTGATCAGGATTTCGAGTCTCATAACAGAAATGTTGTCCTTCGTTAATTTCCAAAAGACTGGTTCATCAAAGAATTTCTGAAAATTGTGCATTTATTTCCACATTCTGTTCGGCAAATGGTCTCCGTTTTCTCCGAATATTTTTCAGGAAGAACAGTCAAAATTCTACCGGCTTTGGTTCATGTGTGTTTCACATTATTCTAAAATGCAAGAAAAAACAGGTTATACCGTCATTTTTTAATTTCTTGAACCAAAAGTTATCTGCAAATTTTCTCACGATGCGGATTGAATTTCGCTGAAACGGGATAATTAAATTCAAAATTGTTCTAGAAGAATTTATTTAGAATATTTGGAATTTTCTTTATTTGAATCCAAGTGATATTTAAAGAGGAGCTATTCAAGAGTTTTCATCCAAGAATATTCATTTATCACATGGAATATTTATTCAAGATTATTTTTGTGATTATTTTGGAAGATCTACATCATGGTTATTTAAATACATGAAGCATTATTTCAAGAAGTTAGTGGGGAATTCTATTTAATTACATGAGGAATTTTATTTGGTCACAAAATTAATCCATGTGATTTATTTGGATGTTTATTACAAGAATGCAAGATTAAAGTCCAAGACTTGCATTATTATTTATTCTTCACTCAACAATTCATCCAAGTATTATTCAAATTATTTCCCAAATTTAATTGGAAGATCTTGAATTTTTATCAAGATATATCAAGATTTATGTTTATGTGAAGATTCAAGATCATTCATAATTATCCAAAGAATGGAAAATATATTGAAGAATGCATATTTATTCAATGTTACAATTTATTGGAGTTTATCACAAGGTTACAAGAAGCTACAAGTGTGTACAAGATTTATTTTCAACATGGAAAAAAATTCAGCAAAGTGCTAGTGCAGCCCATGTTTGCAACCTTTCTTCAAGCCCATTCTGCTACATTTTTGTTGGTCAATAATGCTCCAAATAACCTGAAAAAACAGCAAAGAGAAATGTTGTAAAAATGCTACAAAACAGTAAAAAAAACAGCAACATACATCAGCTCCAAGTGCTGCCAAAAACCTGCTCCAACCTGCATCAATGTAGCAGCAATTTGTATCAAAATGGCTAAAGCAATTTGTGAGAACAAAGTATAGAAACAGCTTGCCAAAACAGTTTGAATTCCTACTGTTTTCCCCCCTCAAATCCCACATACTCCACTATAAATAAGAGTCTTTGTCAACACAAGAAGGAGGGGAAGAAAAATTCAACAGTAAAAGAAAACAGAAAATTAGTGTGGTTCTAAGAAAAATCCAGCAAGGAGAAAAAGATAGCAAAGTCAAGGAAGCTTACCATTTTTTAGAAGCTCCGTCGGAGAGGCTCCGATAGGTATATTCTTTTCCTCTTCTCTATCTATTTTTGCTCTACTGTTGCATATGTTCATGCTTGAATCATTTGTTGTACCATTTTTCTTTGCCATGTAATATTTGCTGTATCATTTTTTGTTGTTGTTTTGTTGTACTGCATTTGAGTTGAGTTGCTGCATAAATGTTAATATTTAAACATGTTAGTATTCATAATATTAATAATAATAAGTGTAATAAAAGCTTACTTTGCTGTCCCAACTTGTTTATCACTTTGTTGTCCCAACTTGTTTATCACTTTGCTGTCCCAACTTATTTAGAGCTTGCTATCCAAAAATATTTGTGCTGTCTAATAAACACCTTTTGCTGATCCAAAAAAACTGGGTTATCCTTTTGCTTTACAAAATCTCAAAGCCAAAAATACATTGTTGTTACAAATATTAAAAAATATATATTTTTGTTCTTAATATTTAAAAAAAAAAAACCATTTTGTTCTTAATATTTAAAAAAAAAGAACTATTTTGTTCTTAATATTAAAAATATATATTACTGTTCAATATTTTTTAAAAATATATGTTGCTGTTAAAAATAAAAAAATAAATACTTTGTTGTTCCATATTTAAAAAAAAAAATATGTTTTATTACAATATTTAAAAAAAATACCTTGGCTGTCACAAATATTTTTTTTGAAAAATAATAATATTTTGTTATTACAAATAAATAATAATATTTTGTTATTACAAATATCTAAAGTAATATTTTGTTATTACAATATCCAAAATATAGTTGTTGTTCCAAATAGCCAAAAACTCATTTTTTTTATTACAATATAAAAAAAATATTTTGCTATCCAATATAAAAATATTTAGTTTTTTTAATATCCAGTATAAAAATATTTAGCTTTTTTTTTCTAATATCCAATAAAATATCTCGTTTTTTTTATATCCAAAACCAAAAAAACTGTTTTGCTGTTACAATACCTTAACTTGCAAAAAACATGGAACCTGCAAAAAAAAAATCCCAAACAGTACTTAAAACCAAAATTCGTATAAGTATTAAATCAGTTTTTTTATTATATTCCTTGAATTAAAAAATAATGATAACAATAAAAAAACAAGTTGGAACAGTGTCGTATTCAGCATCCTGGTTCCTCTCTAACGAAATCTTTCTCCTCGCTCTTTCCTGTGATTTTTCCGCCGCCATCACCCCTCCGCCGTCACCCCTCTGTCGTCTCCAGCCACCACACCGTGCCATACAGAGAAGGCTACTGTGTGAGAGAGGAAGAAGTTTTTGGATCAGTTTATTTCATGAGAGAGGAAGAGTTTTTGTATCGGCTACTGTGTGGGAGAGGAAGAAGTTTTTGGATCGGTTGCTGTGTGAGGGTGGAGAAGGTTTTAGATCAGTTTATTTCGTGAGAGAGGAAGAGGTTTTGGATCGGTTATGTGTGAGAGAGGAAGAGGTTTTGGATAGGTTGTTGTGTGAAAGATAAGAGGTGAGCATATCTGTAAGAAAAGAGATGAAGAAGATTGGATCTGTGGAGAGGAAGTTTCGGATCTAAGAGAGAAGAAGAAGGTATGCGTGAGAGAGGAAGAGAGTTGGATCTGAGATAACGTTTTTTTTCTTCTTTTTAACATGCCTACTGTTTTTTCTTATTTTTATGGAAAACATTATAATATATTGTTATTTTCTATTCCCAACATGATAAATATAATAAACTACTTTCTCCCTCTGCCCAATAAAACATATAATAATGTTTTCTTTTCCTTCTTCCCTAGGCAGCCGTGCGGCGCCTCTTGCACTAGGGTTTATATCTTTTTTTTTCTTTTCCTTTTTCCTCAACCCGGATGGCCCATTGGGCCTTTTTAGTCCATTTTCAAAATTCATTTTTTACTTATCTTTTATTAACTTATGCTAATTAATGAATAATAACACAATCCAATTGGTAAAATATGTTTATAGCAATCTAAGTGTCCTAGGTTCAAGTCTTGGTTGGGTCACTTTTCTATCTTTTATTTCTTTTGGCCATATTATTTAGCATACTTAATATTATTAATTTAGTTTGTTGTATAATTATTAACTATTATAAAAACACATAAAAACGTTCAATTAAAATTCATCCTTATTTAATTTTTGTCAACATACTATTATTTTTATTTTGTGTTGTCATTTATTTAATCATTCGAAAATACATGTTTCATGATTTAATTTTTGTCATGTGTTTAATTATTAAAAATCTATGTTTTTCTTAATTTAATCTTCATGTACTTTTGATTATTTATTTAATCGTTAAAATGCATGCTAGTATGATTTAAATTTCATTAGTTAATTGTTTAATTATAATTTTAATTAATTAATCGTTAATCCGCATATTTTTCGTCCGTCTCAATCCAAGGGAATCGTTTAAATTTTGTCGACTTCATGTCATCAAACACATAGTGCGAATACCCTCATTCATCTTCCGTTTATTATTTTGTTAAAAAACTTAAGATAATTTTTCCAAATATTCAATTTTTCAAAACTCACACCTTTTAAGTCAAAACTTCGATGTTAGGTCGTTGTATTTTCGAAAACTCGTCCATACCCATTTTTCGGCCAAAATAATTTATTTTTAATCAAACAAACATTCTTTAATAAAAAAATATTTCAAAAGGTTCCTATAGAATACTATAGATACATTGGGTTCTAATACTTTCCCATTGTATAACCAACCCCCGAACTCTAGACCTCTTTTCAAAAACGCCTTGTATTTTCATTACTTTTAAAGTATTATTTTACATTGCATACTTTAGGGTTTTATTTCTCTCTTTTCCCTTTTCCCTTGGAAATAATAAAGCACGGTGGCGACTCTTGCTTTTGTGAGACGAATTAATTAATAGTTCGATCTCCGATTTACCCCGCTACATTTTTCATCGCTACAGTGCCGATATGCTGTAATTTATTTTCCCGAGCTTTTGCTCATTTATGTAATTCTTGAACAACTGTGGTCCTTGTGGCCACAAAGTTATTTTGTTGGATGGGGGGCCAAGGGTCTCCCTTTTTGTAAAATTTGTATAATGGCGACCTTAATGGTCGTTTGTTTTAATATTTCGGCCATGGTGGTCGTTTGTTAAATATTTATGTTTGCATGTTTATTGTTATGCTTGTCTACTTGAGATATTTTATTTTTCTAAGAGTTTATAGCAGGGACTTGCTCGGTTGATTTATATGTTCGCCAGTATGGGGAAATTGGACAAACGACCAGGGAGAATATCGGGCGTGGGCTGAAACTCAGATCTCGTTTCGAGGACCTGAGCTCGGCGGTGTGAACTTCCCGTCGCGAGCTGAGTGTTCTACTATCGTGGTACGAAGACGATAAAGCTCAGTTGAGTTATCCATGTCAGGCTAAGGACGCGCTCGTTAAAAGAGCGGAGTCTCACCCCTTCAAAAATATTTTGGATTTTATGCTTGTACCTAGGCATGCACGCGTGGTCGGGCCTGGGTGAGTTTGTCTTGTCAACAAAGCTCGTCGACTGCTCAGTGTTTTAACTGTAATATTGTTTTAGCTTTTTAGCGTTCCATGGTCGAGCACATTGTTCCCCTTGTAGATTTTCTAAGTAGTACGCCCCGGTCCCTGTTTTTGCATAGACGCGATAAGGGCCTTCCCAGTTCTTTGCGGGCTTGCCTTCATGATATTCTTTATGATTTATCTTTAAGACAAGGTTGTCGATCTTAAACTCTCATCGTATGACGTTGGCACCCAAGCGCATGGCTTTTTTTTGTTTGAGAGAGGCCTCTCGTAGGGTCGCTCCTGTTCGGATTTCTTCGACCAGGTCTAGTTTTCCCGTAGGGCGACGTCGTTCATATCCTCATCTGGGTGAGCTTCGGTTCACCTAGAGGGTTCTTCGATCTCTACGGGAATAACGGCACCCGTCCCGTAAACTAGTCGAAATGGAGTCTCCTCGATTGATGAGTGTGTTGTTGTTCGGTATCCCCATAGTATGGTGTGTAGCTACTCGACCCATCTTTTCTTGGTTTTGTCTAACCTTCTCTTGAGGCCCCTGAGTATCACCCTGTTTGCGGACTCGGTCTGGTCATTCTTCTGGGGTGTTCGACAGAAGCAAAGTGCTGGGTGGTACCCAACTCAGCAACGAATTTCTGAAAGGTCTGATCTATGATATGGGTCCCGTTATCAGTGACTATTGCTAGTGATGCCTAACCGATCAAGGATGTTTCTTTTGTATAAGTGAATGACGTTTTGGGCGGTAATTTTGGCCGATGCTTCTGCCTCTATCCATTTGGTGAAGTAGTTGACGGCTACTATCAAATATCTATTTTGATTTGTCCTACCACAAATAGACCGAGGAGGTCTAACTCCCACCAGGCAAAGGGCCGGGAGAAGAGAGGGACCTGAGCTCATTTGGGGGAGTTAAGTTCATGTCCTTGTGCCACTGGCATTTGTCGTATTTTTTACGTGCTCTTTTGCGTCATGCTGCATGGTGGGCCAGTAATACCCTGCTCGCAAAGCTTTCCTGGCGAGGGATCTTCAGCCCACATGCTGGCTATTTATCCCTTCATAGATTTCAAGCAGGGTGTGATCTGCATTACTCTGATCAATGCATTTGAGGAGGGGAATGAAAAACCTTCTTCTGTATAATTTTTCTTCGACTAGGACGTACGAGCAGGCTCTTCGTCTGACCACAACCGCTTATTTCAAGTCGGCGGGTAGCTCCTCTTTTATGAGGTAGTTGTGCACGGAGGTCATCCAGCAGTCGTTGTCCCCTATGGAAAATACTCCCAAAGTCGAGGGGGGTCTCTGGGTGCTCGGTCGAGGACGGATTTCCTGAATCACCGACTTGTTCCCCCCTTTCCTCTTTGTGCTTGCTAGTTTGGACAAGATGTCTTCCCGGGCGTTATGTTCATAGGGAACATGTTTTATGTTTATGGATTTGAGTTTCTTTTTTCTCTTCTAGACCAGGGTCCAATATTTAGCGAGGTGGTCATTTTTCACCTGATATTCTCCTCGGATCTGGGATGCAACGAGTTGAGATTCAATGAAGATTTTCAATTCCTCGGTCCTAGGTCTTTGGCTAGGCATAAACCCACTAGGAATGCCTCGTATTCAGCCTGGTTGTTCGAGGTCATGAAGGATAATGCAAGGGAAGCCTCTATTAGGGTTCCTTTTTATTTTCCAATATGATTCCCGCACCGCTTCCCGTCGAACTGGAGGCGCTGTCGACGAAAATTATCCACCGACACGCTCCTTTCAGGGGTGCAGGTGAGGTCATTTCGGCCACAAAGTATGCCAGTGCTTGTGCTTTGAGGGATTTTTTGCCTTCGTACTGGATGTCGAACTCGGAGAGTTCTAACGACCATTTAAACATTCTTCCCACCATGTTAGGGCTATCGAGCAATTGCTTTATTGGTTGATCTGTTCGAACGACTAAGGTATGTGCTAAGAAATAGTGCCCGAGTCTCCTTGCCGCATTGATGAGGGCCACTTTTTCAATTTGCTGATATCTCATTTCTGAGTCCTACAGGGCCTTTCTCGTAAAGTAGATTGGTCTCTTCCCTTCTGGGGTTTCTCTAATTAGCATTGTGCTTATTGCCTCGGAGGTGACAACTAGATAGAGATATAGGATTTCATCCTTCTCTGGTCGAGAAAGGACGGGCGATTGCAATAGTGCTTGCTTCGAGTGAGTAAGGGGTTGCTCGCATTCGACCGTCCATTCAAAGACAACTTCCTTGCGAAGGAGTTTGAAGAGGGGAGGCGTGTGTTGAACATATTTTGCCATGAATTGGGAGAGAGAAGTGAGCATGTCGTTTAGGATTTGAATGGACTTTTTTGAAGTGGGTGTTGGAAAATCAGAAAATGCTCGATATTTGTTGGGGTTTGCTTTGATTTGTAAGGTAGAATCCGAGGAATTTGCCTGCTCGTACGCCAAAGGTTCATTTTTCTGGGTTGAATCGCATCTGGCACTTTCTAGCCTGCTCTAACACTTTCTTCAAGTGGATAGCATGGTCGATCTCTTCTGTCGATTTGATGATCATGTCGTCCATTTAGACTTTAAGCATGTCGCCTATTTCGTTGTGGAAGACTTTGTTCATCATGCGCTAATATGTAGCGCTCGCGTTTTTCAGGCCGAAAGGCATTACGTTGTAGTAATAGTTTCCCGACTCGGTCATGAAAGTGGTATATTTTTTGTCCTCTTTCACCATTGGAATCTGGTTGTATCCAGAATATGCTTCTATAAAAGATAATAATTTGAAACTAGCCGAGTTGTCGACCAGTCTGTCAATATTGGGGAGAGGATAAGCATCTTTCAGGCAAGCCCGATTGAGGTCGGTATAATCAATGCACATGCACCATTTTCAATTAGATTTCTTTACAAGAACTACATTCAAAATCTAGGTTGTGTACTGGGCTTTAGAAATAAAGTGTGCCTCTAGGAGGTCTTTTACAGCTACTTCGGCAGCCTCTGTCTTTTCGGGGGATTGTTTTCTTCTGCATTG